ACATATTTAAAATATGAGACACCAATGTTTCAGGAGTTGAGGACACAGAATAGGACACATGCTTATTCGATAACTGTTTTATTTCCTATTTTGGTTTGCTATTTTGGTTTGCTGTTTTATTTTTTATTTTTTTTAAGATTAACTGTTTTTTTTCCCCAAGGCATGTTAGATGCCAGTGTTTCCTGTCCTAGCTATGCAAATAATTTATTTCAAAAACAGTATCATAGCTATTAAACTATATCTTATGATTTTAAATCTGTATTTAACCTCAAAAAGATCTAGTTGTCCCGTACGGCTGCTGACGTTAGGCTATGTGACCACTCTCGAAGCTAACGTTAGCATGTAAAGCTGAGATGATTAAACGTATATAATATTGACAGATACTGAACTTAAATATTGAATTTCCATGTGGTAAAAATACACACTGATACGCCTATATGCGGCAAAAAGGCCTATGTGCGCTAAATTTCGGACCGCTTGGTCTAAATCCAAATGTGTTCATTTTGTTGTTTTACGTTAGAAGACAATGGGAAGAATTGCCATTGGACTAACCACAGCTGACAACCAGAGACGCACACACACACGGAAAGAACACGGCAACTTTACAATTGTTCAATTAAAATAAACGTATTTTGCTCCATACAACGTGTCTGTTGTCTTTGATTAGCCTAAAAGTAAAATAAAATGACATTCAGAGGACTTAAAGCGAAAGTCCCCTAAACGTCCCGAATGGCCGCTGCACGTCCTGTGAACGTCCCCTTGAACGTCCGGAGGACGTCTTCGCGGACGTCCGCTCGACGTAAAAGGGGACCCTACACGCTGACGTCCGGGGGACGTTCGCAGAGGCCATTTAGGGCACGTCCTGGGGACCTTTTTTTGTTAGCTGTGCATACACTCTTTAAATTGATAGTACGCAAAATATCTGTAAAAGGACTGATAATGCGATGTTTTGGTTCGTGTCTTAGTGCATGCAGATTATAGTTGTTAAGTTTTAATATAAAAGATAATAGTTTGTTTACAATTTAGATGCTTTTATTATGAAATCACACAAAGAACCATTGATTGTTAACATGTTATTAATTGAAATAATACTATGTGCTCATTTCTGGTCTTTCTACGAAGCGGCCACGCGACAATCTTGCTCAATCTAGGCCTCAATCTAGGGCTATCAAGGCCTCAATCTAGGCCTCAATCTAGGCCTCAATCTAGGGCTATCAAGGCCTCAATCTTACTATTGCTCTGTTACATGTACATTTAAAACACTTAAAGTTACAAGTTGAAGATGGTGTGGAAACACTATTCTCTTTGTACTCGTCTGTTAACACACGGCGGTAAAGTTAGTTTGACGTTTGACATTCATTAGACATTCGGGTTTTTTGCCAATTAAACTCTTTGCAGCTTTTATGTTTTGAGCCCAAACTAACTCAGATAGACATAAATATATGCCCTTTATGTTGCACAAGGCTTAATTTC